TAATGAGCTCCTTCTCGTGTCTAGAATTTTCTTCTTCCTCTTTGTCTGGCCTCTCCAGCTGTGATGAATGATATTTTACTAAGAGTTAAAACCATGCAGCTTAGCTGAGAAAATCTTGATGTGGTGGAGTCATGGATGTTTCCCATTCAAATGTTCTTATGTATTTCAAGCTTGATGATAATTGTTAATTTGAATGCGTTGGTACTGGCATGTTTTAGGCAAAGAAGGATTTAATTGTATATAAAATAAATTTTAAGCAGCTGAAAAGGAAGCGAACTGATTGGTTTGGTAAAATTTGAAATAGAAACTACCTTTAATCAAACTGGCTCTAATTTCCAAATTAAAATTTTGAATGATGTAACGTCTCTTCCGAAATGATCATTTCTGCATAACTCTTCATAAGGCGGTTGATTGTTTTCAAGATATTAAGTGTCACTTGTTATAAGTATGTAATTATTATTCTAGTACTTAAATTAATTAACTATGTAAATGCACCATTTTTTCAACTATGCGAAATTCTTGGGTTATGTATTTCATTGTTGTTGGTGTAATACAAGCATAAAATTTCTTAACACCTATTTCAAATGCATGGTCTCATCTCATATTATACGCTCGTCTGATAAGTCACAAAGTGCATTTAAATAATTTTAAACCATTACAATTGTTTTTACAATACGATACTGTTAAAACTAGGATATTGTTACGAGATGTACAGGCGTGGTAAGATGGCTTCCCCGCAAAGCAGTTTTAGGGTTGCCATAAAATGGCAAAGGAAGGCAGAGTTGCCACATTTGACGAGAAATCGCGAATTTAGCGATATTTGGTGACAAAATTCGCGATATGCCATGAACAGATGGAGAACCTTCTGGAACGAATTCTTACCGATTTAGCCCAGAATGTTCTCGAAAGCAAGCCGAAAGCTATATACACAATGCTGGTCCGCAGTCAGTTAGTGTGTGCTTCATCGAGAGGGCGAGTGAGTGTGCCTCGTCTAGCGAGTTAATTCCTGCGGAGTCGATCGCGTTGACAGCCGGGCAGCGAGTGCCGAGTGTGTCGTCGATTTCACCAAAGGAGTCTCTTAGTGTATCGCGGTTAGTGCATCGTCGAGAGAGCGTGTTGAACTCCGGGAGCGACTGATCCGAAGAGTCGTGAGCCGTGCTCCGTGTGTCGTCGAGTGTGTCGCGAGTTGTAGCGTGGAGAGTCTCGAGGGTACGTGGAGTTCCGAGAACGACCGATCAGAGTCGGGAGCTGTACTCTGGTGCTTTGCAGTGAAGCTGTCTCCACCATGATAGCCTGATAACATGGAGGCTGCGTCGCTGGTCGTGTCAGCGTGTTTATAGTAGTTCATCGACGACAGTTAAAACGTGTTTTGGAGTTGTCCTGACAATACTGGCTAATAAAGTGTGCTTCGATACTTCATCAAGTAGTGTCATCATTATTTACTCCAAATCTGCGAATCCCGTCCGAACGTGAAGGAAAAAAAACGTAACAATATTTTATAGTATTTTCTCAATATTTTTTTTATTTCAAGCTATTTTAAAACTCCGTTAAATTCTAGCACTTTTGAATCCGTTTCTTAAACCCAAATGACATCTTTTTACTATCTGCTACAAGAAAAAATACGCTTAGCATGACAGCACACACATGGGACTATTTCTTCCACTTCATTATTGTTTTGTGATTTTCTTATATTTACTTCTATGTTAACCTGCTATCAAAAGAAACCTTTTGCATTTATCAAAATAGTAATTGGATTATCTAGTAGAATTACATAATCTAGTACAATACAGTACATTAGGAATGGAAATGAAAGGACTGCAGGCGAGATATTCATGCATCTCAAAGTTCCCAAGCAAGTGACTATATTTACAACTAATAATGCACACCTTTTCAAATTTTGTAAAGACAGTAAATCTTTTTCTTACAACAATCCATAAGGAATATCTACACATGTTTAATGTCATATGCAATGCTTCAGTCGATACGGATTAATTCATTACGGGTTAAATCAGCTTATACTGAAATGCTTTAAAATTAAACACATTAAGTTTTTTTGTTTTCGTTGCTGTATAATTTGGTGTAATACAGAGCAATTATTATCGGTTACTGAAATGTGTCCACTATTTCATAAACAACTTAAATTTACTAGTATATTTATAAAGTAGTAGCGAAAGTACCCCGATGCCAGTTAAGTTTTATTGAGAGTAGTGCATCTAACAACATAGAGAACGATACCGCTGTAATCTTTCTCTAATAACGATGCAAAAACTAAGATTCACAGTCATACATTTTTCAGTCAGATGCGATATGGAACTCACATAAAAAATATTGATAGAAAAATAAGCTAATTCTTTCTTTCATTATATCAGCAACAATGGACGCAGTTTTTAATGATTTTCGTCTTTCTAATCAAATGGTCGTAAAAGTCTATATTCATCTATATTAAATTTCTATCGACTAAATGTGGTAAAAAAATATCATAATTGATCAGAAATCAATAAAGCAAACAAATAAACAAACACACAAACAGGTATTCTTCTTTATATATATAGATTTTGTAAAACTTACAAACTTTGACTATCAAACTCTACGATTTGAAAGCGAGCAGTAGCAACACTTTTCAAAATAAATAATTTTTATCTCCAACGCGCGAGACTGTTGCCACTCAGAAAACTCAGTGCGAAAATTAGTGCTTTCAGAGTTTTTAATTAATATCTCGGCTGATTAAAGTCGTACGAAGATGGTACTAGCCGAAATGGATTCCCACGAATTTTTGGAATCGGGAATAATGTATTTAATATTTGTCAATGCTATTTTTATTTCATCGTAAAACTTAGAAATTTTTATTAACAAACTCTACGAGTTGGAAGCGAGCAGTGGCAACAACTTTCGAAATAAAGCAGATTTTCATCTCCAGCTTGCGAGACTGTTGTCACTCGGAAAAATGAGCATGAAAAGTATCATTTCTCCCAGGTTTTAACTGATATCTCTGATTTTAGCTACTTTTTACTTCCTTGTACGAAGTAAAAAGAAAGTATTGTAATCGCGAAAAGTTTCAGGCAGCATATTCCAACGAAAATATCCATTTTGACCGCTATCGAACGCAATTTAACGATGGTTTATGCGTGATATCTGTACGTAAGGACAGAATAAAAGACTCGTTTCCTCCAAAAAAATTATAAAACTGCTTTAAAATTAATTCCGAAGAGAATTTTTCGTAGCGTCTGTACGAACGTATGTATGTATCTCGCATAACTCAAAAACGAGTAGCCTCAGAACGTTGAAATTTTGTATATAGGACTGCTATAACATGTAGATGTGCACCTCGTATTTTGGTTGCAATCGGCCGCACCAAACGTATATAAAAGATATATTTATATATATATCCACTCTGTTACTCGGCACAGTGATCTCAGTTTCTTTACTCTTATATGTTTGTAAATTGTACATTTTTTGCTTTACAAATGATTGAATTATGTTGTTTTTATATTCCGGTTAAGGGTTTTATGCCTTTCGTAATTCTGGAAGCAATATTTGTACAATTATCAAGAATTTAAAAGCTGGTTTAAGTGCGGTTAAGTTTTAAAATAACATGGCGGACATATCTTTTACATTTTGAAACAGCAGAATTGTAGATTTGTTGCCAATCTAGAGAGACTAAGCTTCGCAACAACAAAAATAACGCTTTCATTTATTATTGCGAATTAAATCATGCTTAATCCTTTCTGGAATTTTTTCGAGGAAATAAGTGTTTAAGATTTACTTCGTAATTTTTAATACAGATGTTTTGAGTTTTTATGTATTTTTGCCTTGTCGCGAAGTGACAACTGAATTAATTGTATGAGAAATATTAAATCGTCTGTGAAAAACTGTTTCTTTTCTGTTTTGTTTCCTTAATTTCTTTCATATATCGTTCTAGCTTTGTAGTATTTGAATAGAACATGTGACAACGATAAGATAATTCTTCAAATGATATAAATTTTGTGCATTCAGAGTGTCGTTATAGTAAACAAATATAGTGAATTTTAAAGACTGCATTTATTCTATTGTGGTTTATGTGCTGTCGACGAAGTAGATTTAATTCAATCCAATCAATTTAAATGAAATTCAAGAAAAAAATGCGTATAATTTAATATTCCGTACAAGGAAGTCATGTGGTGTACACATCAGATTTTTTTGGAAAAAGTGGACATCGACATTTTACAGGATCCAGTAAAGAATCATAGAAAGTTTGTAGTGACTGATTTATTAAAGGACAAACACACATGCTTTCTTCTTTATACATATATATACAAATGTTGATATATTGTAAATTATTTACATAATTACTATCATATTGGAAAATATGATACGCTGTGGATAGTAAGCATACTTAACTCGAATAAATGAGCATATTTGTTTTGGCTTATTATTTTTATAGGCTAAGTTTAAATAAATTTTAATTACATGTAGTGAGGGATGCTTTATGTTACATTGCAGCAGCAGAGTGTGTTAAGTTAACACTAGAAGCTATGGTTAGGAAGAACATTATGCGAAATCTCTCTTAACCCACAAATGTGTATTTTGTTCCTCTAATCCTGTTGCAAAGTGCCTTGTAAAGACTAAACGCGTATTGGATCTCATAGTCTTATCCTTTTTTTTTAATTTAGGTCATTCATTTTAATTCAACATTTTGTTTATTTCATGAATCAATTATACCCCGTTTCATTATTTCTGAAATAAAATCAAACATTGTTTATTCCTTAAATAATCAAATGGTTAAATAGTATTAAATTATACTTGAGATTTAATACTACTTTAAACAGAATAGTAATATTACATTCAGTGCAACTAATACTGTAAGCGTTCCAATAATTTAGGATACAGATTACAAAAGTGAAACACATTATTTCCGTTCTGGCAGTTTGTGTATAAGAACATTGAAAAAAAAACTGCAGACAAAATTTTAATTACGCTTATTGAAAGGAGTCACGAGTAAATGGAAATCGCTGAATACTCACTAGTGCAGGCTGGTGGCTCATCACTGAGGTCTCCGCAGTCATCGGTGCCATCGCAATATCGGCCAGACTCAATGCATCGCCCATTGTCGCAACTGTATTCGGAGAGGCGGCAGACGGCCCAGCAATAGCCCAACACCGTCAGACAGAGGACGAGGGGAGGGGACAGCCATCCCATCCTCCCCCTCCCGTCAGCCAGCCGGCATCCTCACGGCGGACCCGCCCGCACGTGCTTCAGCCTCTGACACCTTGACCTGCAAAATATGAATCCAAACATTATTTCCTGTTTCTGAGACATACAGAAATACAAATTAACAATTTGCATAAAATGTCTCAGAGCTACGAAATGAAAAGTTTTCATTTACATCCCTAACTGCAGCTAGGACTAGATTATTTCCAAACACATTTCTCTTCTAGTAAAATCTCTTACCATTGCAGATTTATTTGCAAACCAGTTTTCTCAGAATTTCTACCATATATAAGCATTTTCCGAATGAGTTTAATTGTATAAGTTATTATTACTATTTTGTTTCAAGATATTATAAACCTCGCTGGTTCAACTAGATACGGAGAGAGCGAACACAACCTCTATCTGCTTAATGAGAGAAATGCTTTCGCAAAAACGTTTATTAGAGAAAATTGTCTTTTTCATGCTAGGTGTCAAGAAAATCATAAAAACACTCATGCAGTGGAATTTATTTCATCCTATTTGCCAGATTTAGAACCTGTGTCAAGTACCAGGGTTCAGAGATCTCAATCACTGAACCTTAAGTCACTCACTCACTTATTCGTGGTCTTTAGCAGTAAACAAAAGTGGGTAAAAGATCCTTATTCTTTCCCTCGGAGTATTCTTAATCAAACGTTTACGTGCTTTGTTTCAATTGGATAATCCACATCCTCTCGTTAAATTTATGTAAAGTATTCTCAGCAATTTATCAAGTTGACTGGAATGAAAACTGTGTGAAAGACAGAGTGAGAGAAGCACTTAAATGAAAAGAGAATCAGGTAAAAATTAAAATCTTCTAATTAAAAAGAATTATCAGAAGATATTAAAATTATTTAAGGGGTGTGATTTTAAGATTTACCTCAGATGTTAAAATATGTGAGTAACGATACTGACTGAATTATCATTTTGCTGTGTGTCAGAGTTTTTTGGCGTGTCAGACGTTTAGATAAGGAAGTCACTTTTCTGTATAAGATTTAGTAATGAGCATCATATTATATATATTAATTTTTCAAATCTCAGTTTATTTCGGAAAACTAACAATCGTAACTAAAATATAAAGAAAATTATTGTGTATGAATTTTATATTTTACTAATGTAACTGTTGTTTCTGGAGCCTAGTGTTTTTTGTATGAATGTTTGTAAAAATAATAATCATATGGTAAGTTATGAAAAGATTGATTTCAATAATGTAGTTTTAAATGTCACTTCCATCTCTCTAAGTTCTCGTAAGCTAATGAATGGCTCACCAACGGCCGAACGGTAAAGTCGCTGAACGCTGGTCGTTCGGTCGAGGATTTGTTCCGGGCGAACGGGCGTTTTCGTGGTTAACCCTATGTGTAACGTGTATACAAGCAATTTTTGCCTTTGAAAGTTCTCCATGAAGGCATCCATCCCCTTAGGCTGATAGCTCTCGAGTCCTTTGCCGTAATGAAATATAATATACCTTAAGCTGATGATGGAATAAGTGAGCTGAGACTGTCAGAATGACCTGAAAATACTTAAATGTGTATAATTATTTAAAGTGCTTAGATATTATGATATTAGCATCACGTTTTATACTTCGAAATTCTAGTCACTATATTTCCACTTTCATAAAATTATGAAGCTTTAAGGCTTGTTTCCAAAATCATGTTTTTTTCCGATATTTAAAATGATACCTAAATCAATGTTTCGAAAATATTCATGAGTGAGAATATTTATACTATTAAACACCATCATCTAGCGCAGAATACAAATATATTCTTTGTGAAAAAAATAGGCATAATATTCAGCGAAGAAAAAGTTTTCATGCGTTTTTAATCTCCAGCTTAATTCTAAATCCTTTTTTCTATCATACATATTCATTTACGTAAATCCCTCTTTACGTATTCTGATACCGTAGAAGAAAATCGGAAGCGTTCCATTAACTGAATAAACAGGGCGGAAAAGAATCGATATCAGATCGCCTTATTCTAACTTCTTTCTTTAAATCTTGTCTTCATGTTCGCGATATTATAATGGTAGAAGGTGAATCATTTCCTTGAATTTGTCTATGTATCTCTTCACGGTATGCGTACAAAACACCATGCGGGGGAAGAAATTAAACTATACGCACTTATAAAATTCGCGTTGCTGTAACTTAGATATTCATTTTGTTAGCCTTATGAATAAATGCATTATAGCTCAAGACAAAGATTTCTTTATGCTGCTATAAGAGGTTTTCGCTGTGCGAATAACTAGTGAAGCAACGGAATAATGGAGGACGCAAAATCGCCTTTTGAGCCCAAAGTTTTATTTTGGTCCAATAAGCGAAATTTGATTTTTAATCTTTTTATATCTTTTTCATAAAAGAGAAATATTTCACTCAGATAGAGTAACAATAAGAAATATAACGGTCCAAAGAATGATTTATGCTTATTAAAAAGTCTTTATAAAAATAAATTGATATTTTTCTTTCCAGTAAAAGATAGACCTAATAGAAGTCGAGGAATTGAGCGCTGAAACTCAGTGATTCGCTTCAGGTTTGGTTTTAAATGAGTGGGCTCTAATTTTTAAGGTGTTCCTTTTAAGCATAATATGAATAAAATCAAATTTTCTTTAAAAATCTTTTCTTGAAGGTACTCTGAAACAGATAGCTTTCATGTGTGCTGCCAAGATTAATAAAACACTCTGATAGCCACTATATGCATTTAAAAATTTCTGAACACTTTTTCTTAAAATATTACAGCACTTCTCTTATAAAATAAAACATATGTGTTTGATTTAGTTAACTGTACAATGACAAGAAAGTTTTCGACATTTCAGTGAGATACTGTAAGTCTTGGCAGATGCTTTTACGTTATGAGAATATCTCATATATGTGTGTAAGATATAACAAAATACGATGGCTGCGCTAAGAAATGATTGGCGACCTCAAAGTTGACTATTCTAAATTTTATGTTCTTCCCCTAAGTTGATCTGTTCTTCAAAATTCGAGATCTTTCCAAGTTGCATAAAGTTGCTTGAAAAAAAGAACTAAAACCTGAAATTAACAAATCGCAGCTTAGCTGTGCATATGCACCTACCTAGAATAAATACTGCTTCGCCAGAAATTACGTCATTACTTTTCCTAACTTCTGCCTTGCAAACGTCTCTGCGCTGAGATTCTTTCCTGTCTAAGATGTAAATAGCTTGTCTACCAAAATGATGTCATGTGAATTATCATAGAATTAAATTATGTTTCGAAATGGCCACGTCTGGAATGTATTGGTTAATGCATCCATATTTCTAATTACGCAAAAAAGTGTCTTCGAATGCCAGAAATTAAAATACCGGGTTTCTGCTACGTATCAAAACATCACACACATATATATATATGGGACGAGCAAATATGCATATACTAATTATAAATATACATACATATATAATGTACATATATATGACTAAATGACATATCCACATACACTTATAGAAATGTAGTTGCATTTATATATGAATTACATATGATAAATCTTATAAATCACGATCTATGAGTTTTATATATGAATAATGCATGATCTAATAAAAATTTACGCATAATAGTTAACTTACACGAAAGAAACACAGATACAGCCACAAAGATACACTGTTTCAAATTAATTAAATATTACCGCGAACATTAGTTTCGTATTGCGTTTTAAAAATTTCCATATATATTTCTTAACAATATGGATGCTTTCTCATTATTTAAATCATTCCAGATTGTTCAAGCTTAATGCTGCGGTAACAAAGCCTATAACGTATCGTGTCATATATGATTGATTGACTTCAGGTATGGTATACCTCCATTACACATATAAAAAAATGTAGAAAATATTTTGAAATAAGCTGTAAAATATTTTATAATTAATTAAAAAATAAAATAATTCAAAAAATCTTAACGGTGAAAAAATATTTTAGCCTATTAACAGGCCTAATTTTAATTTTTTCTGTTTCCTTCTCTCAGTTAAACTTAATTCTGTTAGAGAATAATCTTAAGTTCTTTAAATTCACAATATAAGATATTTTTCTTCATTTCTCCTCTGGATAAATTATACATAATAATACCTGTTTTTAAAGGTAGTATCTACCAAAATGATGTCATGTGAATTATCATAGAATTAAATTATGTTTCGAAACGGCCACGTCTGGAATGTATTTGGTTTTATGCAGGGTATAAACCTGCATAAACCAATACATTCCAGACGTGGCCGATACATTCCAGACCAATACATTCCAGACATTTTATATATAAATAAATTATTATAAAAATATATATTATTTTAGGGTAGATGTAGAATTAGAGTACTTTAGTGTTGTAAGAACGAACGTCTGAAACAATAAAATAAATTAAACCAAACTTATTTACTTTAGTGTGAGAAACGTATGCAAAATAAATTTTGAATAATTTTATAGTATGTATTCAATAAGAGAACTTCATGATTTTTTCAAGATGAGGAAACTGATAATTGTTTCAATGTTTGAAATTAGTCATTACTCTCAACGCATATTTTAAATGTAATTGGTATTCTTTCTTTCTGACTCTTCTCAGAGCTCAGAATTTGCGATTCCCTGTTGAAAAGTTTTATTTTCAAATCGGTATAACGTTTCAAACATTCATACCAACTTAATCAACTTTGGGTTTGTTCAGAATTTATTTTAAAATAAGATTACCTAAAAGGAATAATTGTTCATATGCATTAGTATAAATCAATATTTTAGTTTATCAGTTTAACTGAAATGGCAGTTTCGAGAACTGAATTCTCTAAAGGTGATTAATTTTGCACTTTTGAAAAAAAGAACTAAAACCTGAAATTAACCAATCGCAACTTAGCTGTACATATGCACCTAACTAGCATAAATACTGCTTCACCAGAAATTACGTCATTACTTTTCCTATCTTCTCCCTTGAAAACGTTATTTGTCATTGTATTGTTTGTTATTATTAAGTTATTTGTCATTGTATAGATACTAGTAGATTCTTTCTAAGAAGTTAACATAAAAACATCAATTAGGATCTCAATAGGAATCGAACCACAAATCTCTTAGGTG